CCCTTGGTACCTTAGATGAAGACAGTTCATGGATTTAGCTCCATTCTGCAATACCAGTACGCCTACACTGTGTAGAGCATAACGGACCCTACAGGGAGTACAGTACTGAAACGTACACCTGCAAGGCATCCGGGGTGCAGGTATGTCACACCATGCTATGCAACACCCCTTTTCCCCCTTTATAGTCATTAGCCTTTTATTTCCCTTTCCAAAGGTAAATAGGCGAAATATACCCTATTACAAGAGTCTCATTTGCATGTATTTTTCTTCAGGTAACTCTTCTTCTCCCCATTACACTGGATAGCCTAGCTGACTGATGTCCTCTGCACCTTCAACTTTCATAATGAAACACTAAAAGGAGTTAGCAGCTCAAATTACTCTCCCTGCCCAGTCCCAATTCACTTGTCATTCCCCCTGGTAAGGACTGGTTAAAGGCAAAACAATGAACAGTCCCGTAGGGAGTTCAGGAAGATTCACCAGCTCAAAACTCCACAGGCAAAAATTCTGACGTACCCATCAGTCTTCAGTAATCATCTTCCAGACAAGTATGTAATATAACTAAATGACACAGAAAACGTAAGTGACTTGAGACAGTTTTGCACACAGCACGTGTTAAATATAGTGATGCATTTTCACGCTGCTTAAACTGGTGTTACTTCTTGGTCCGTTCGAGGGAAGACACTCCAAGCGAGCCAACAGAACAAACTTGCTCTGTCAATAAACTCTTTAGCAGTTTGTGGATTATCAGTGCAGGGAACTGCAGTTTTTCCTTGTCAGAGATGTAATAACATTTTTTTCTTAATTTAAGAAGTAATTTCAGGTCATGCCATTACTCATAAAAAACCTTCAGAGTGAAAGGAGATTTACTTTCCTTTCTGAGCATCCCTTAGTCCTTGTCTGCAATTAAAAGGGTTTGAGTTGCTCACTCCCCCAGTAGACAGATCTATTCAAAAGTAAGCACTTCACTGGTGTGACTGAGCCATCTTCTGTTAATAGGACACACTATGAAATATTTTATATATCAGATTAGCCCATTATTGAGCAGTTTTACAGATGCAATTTCTTCCCCAAGATTTTTTCTTTTACGTAACTGTACTGGCAGACTTAAATCTAGCCCTCCTTTATGCTTTTTTTGTATATATCAAAGCTCTATAATAGCTAAATCTTTTTCTGAGAAAATTATCCAGATGATTACACCCTCACATAACTAGACTGCTCCATAGAAAACATCAGTTCAATAGCACTCAGAAAAAATAGAATTAACTGTTACAGATTACTGGGAAAGGAAAATGAGTTCTGAGAGGTCTACAAAAGCCTAGGTGGCATAGAAATGTTGGGAAAGGATTAATCTCTCAAACAAAAACAACAGGTCACCAAATCAGCAGAAGCCAAGTTCAAAAAAAAAGAGAGAAAAAAAAGGTTCATAAAGCAAGTAGTAACTCATGGAGGAACTCCTTTCCAACCAAAACCAAGACAAGTTTACATGTATTCCAAAGACGACAGTCCAAGCATCTGGATAAAAGGAGAACTTTGAGCATCAGCATACAGACAACTGACACCATACTTGGGAAAGCCCCTGAGGTGACACATCTAGAGAAGACTATTGAGAAGAATCATCACTTTTGACTGATTTTCTGGGCAACCCATAAATCTGGCATCTCTGGCCCATTCTTCATGCATCTCAAAACAGGTAAATGCAGTGTCATCTTAGAAAGTCTTTAAAACTGGACTTTGATTTAGTTCCTGAACTGAACTTAAAGGCACACCATGTGCCTAAACCCTTGATCAGGTTCTACGCTATTTCATTTCAAAGTTTCATTTAAAGAACAAGTGTGGAATGTTAGAGCATCTAATGTTTCCTCAATTAATTCAGTAGGCCTTAATCCAGGCAACCTCCTCTAGTTCTTAAATTTCCTGTTGCTCCTGGAAAGAAGTACAGCTGTCTCTAATCCAACTTCAGCTTACTCTAGAATGCAAACATTAAAAAAAAAAACAAACAAAACCCAATAACCCTGATGAATAGGATGCAACAATAATCTTACACATCGAACTCCCCAAGAAATAACTACACGTAGACATAGCTTAAGGAGAGGACAGTTGGGTTTGTCGGTGAGGGTTTGTTTTTCAGGTCTTTTTTTGAAAAGCAGCTGAATACCAAGACAGAGATCAGTACTCTGGATACAAAACAGCTGCTTTGAGCAAAACAGGAAATCTCTCCTTTAAGAGAAAGAATGCTTGTGTCTACACCCTATGCCAAGGGAGAATTCTTTCAAGTGTGTCTCTTACTGTATCCAAGATGGATAGATGGATAGTGGAACTTGATGTTTAACAAAAGCCAAACCAAAACATACACAACCAAGAGAAGCCACTAAAAATTACTAAGTTGGCATATTTATGAACTAGATAGTGTGTATGCCTTTGGGAGAGGTCAAAGTAATCCCACATTGAAGAGATTCTGATACACTGTGGCTGTAATCAATTTCTGAACATTTCCATAGGCATCAACTGTTGGTGTTTTTTTTGTTCTTTTGTTTGGTTTGGGGTTTTTTTGTTTGTGTGTTTTTTCTATCATGAACAGTCTTTTGAAGGCTAAGACTTAAATATTCATATTTGTGTGTGGGGAAAGCTTACCTGTATTAACAAAAACTGGAATAAGAGGTTAGAGACATCAAGTGATTACAATTCACATAGACATAACTGGTCATGAAATCTATCAAGTGAAAAGTACTATATGGAGACAGTTTAACAAACAGGCATAGAGATTGAATAAACGCACAAAGTTCAAAGATTTTTCTTCTCTTTATTTAAACACAAATACATTTACAGCATGCAGGTAAGTTAAAACTATATGGCGTCTTCTCCAAACAAATTGTTTTAATGCATCTTAAGTGTACTGAAGTTAAATCATATTCCACAGGTAGACTTGTCCTCATGTCAAATTTAGAGTTACACACAGTAGTGAGTCAGCATTTAAGTTATGTAAATAATTTAGTTGTTCACCAGAAATAAATATTATTTCACCAAGTTCCTATCCTAAACCATCTTTTAAAAAATATGATCTAGAGGAACATAAAAATAAGAACCATTCAAAGACTGCAAGTTGGAACAGCAGTGTTGAACATTCCCTGTATAGACTATTTTAATTTACAAAAACCAGTAATTGTCCTGTCCAGCTGACCTATGACAGCCAAACCAGAAAGCAAAAAAAGTTGGTTGGGTTTTTTTTTGTACATTTTAAGAGGCAGTTCTTGGTAAACTTCATAGAAGGTTTAAAATAAAAAAGAAAAGTTTAAATACAAAAAGGTGATGTACACTGAGCTACAGGCTAGTTATTTTAAATTTTTTTTTTTTTTTTTTTTTTCACCACAGCAAATTTCAGCACCAAAACCCATGATAATTACCTACAGGAATGAAACCCTCATTAACAGGCATGAGAAAAAAAATCCTGCTTCATTTGAATGCATTTTTAAAGAAAGTGGGGTTTTTTTTGTTTTTATGATTGCGTATTAACAAATGAAGGTCTGAAAACCTGTAGTTAACACTGAGAAAGATAACGGACAGTGCTGTTTCCATCATGAGAAATTTCATTCAAAATAGTTTGCTGCTCCTTTACTTTTCTTTCCTCAGTATGTCATCTTTAATTGTGCTCTAAAACAACTGCAAGTTTGGAGTGTTTGGCAGCCTTACTGAACAAAACAGTCTTAAAAGCTGAAAACTCCAAAATAGTGAGATTTCTGACTGATACACTCAACCTTTAAAAATCAAACTATTAAAAATTCAGACTACTGCAGATATAGAAAAAAGTGGTTCAAGGTCTAAAATCTGACTACACTCCATCATAATATAAATATTTTGTCTATTTATAAAAGTTGAAAGTGATTTGCTGTCTGAACAGTCATAGAGTCTCTACTGTTTCCACAATAACTGATAAATACCCAGCAAAAAATTTAAGCCAGCACACAAAGTGTTACCAACTGGGTCTGGAAAGCTCACTGAATTCTTTCAGTAATATTAAGTTCCTCCTTTCTCAAAGACCTGGTAACTCATTTCTATCCAGAACGCAGCTGTACTAAGAATTATAGTGGCTAAATCCTATGAATAAGTTAGGCAAATTATACTACAAAATTTTAAAACCTGGATTCAGCTCAGTGAGAGCATTGGAGCTCAAAACCAAAAGAAATCCATGTTTCATTTTGTTAGCCACTTTACAGGACTTTATTGCAAAGAGAGGAAAAATATTCAACAACTACTACTTTGGACATTTCATACACCTACTTACAAATGGATTACAAATACAATTCAGTGTAGCACTTTATTTATTTTATTATTTTTTTAAACACGTCTCTGGGATTTCCAGATACATCAGTTTTAAAAAGCTGTATCCTTTATTAGTGTACCTGAATTCATTGGCCTGTTGCTGAAATTTTTTTTTTTAATTGAAAGTTAAAATTTTAACCAAAAATTCCAGTACTGTATATGTAGTGGAATATAAAGTTAAATTTTAGATTGCGCTCATTTCACTATTATAAAGTAGCGAAAGTGAACCATCACAGATACAGACAAATAGACAGGCTCATCAGAATGAAGCAGAATGTTTTCACTCCAGACTGTACTGTGTGTAGAATCAGGAACAGGACAGATGGGATAATCCATTGCCAAAGTCTTTTCTGTAAACTTAGGTTTACTCTTCTTACTGTACAATATTTATTTAATTCTAAATTACCCAATAAATGGGCATTTAAATCAGATAACAGTTAAACAGCCTCGTTCATATTGAACTCCTTAGTTCTGTGGTGTAGCGATCGCAGTGCCTCATGGCAGTTGTCAGAAGCACACTTCAGTATTCTTACACTGTACAAATAAATTTAGTTCCAATGCTGTATGCAGCATTCCAAAAGAAAACTGTGATGTAGAGTGCCATTCTAATTCAGTGGGACATGTAGTGTTATGTAAAGTGATAAAAACAAAAGTATACTTAAACACTGTTGCACATTCCCTAAGACAGTAAGATGTATACAAATTAAGCTAGAAAATTTGAACTAAGATTTTTTCAACATACATTCAGCTTGGCACAGTGCAGACTAAATTTAAGACATGAAAGACAAACTGTGTAATGAGCAGAGCTACACTTTAAGTAACATGTCATTTCAAGACGCCAAAATTGCACTCTAGGTTTGTTTTTCTTTGGGGGGGAATCAGTTAGCAGAATTTGTAGAAGGGGGAAGAGCTGTACAGGCCAGGTGTAATTTATACATTTTCAAAAAAATAATCCTACAGTCCCCAAAGGGAGAGATTATTGTCATGGAATGACTCCCTCTACATGATATCCAATCCTTCTCACACTGCATTTACTTCTCAGCAACTGTAAATGAGAAAAATAACAGTTAAGTGCTTGTACCTTGTAAGCCAAAAAAGCCAAGTTCTTTACATTTACAGTAGACCATATTCACTATTTACACAGCCTTTAAGAGTCCAATTCTTCAACCACTCAGATAAGCACTAACAGAACATCTACTTTAGAATAAGAAATTACGTAGCACAAAGCATTTAAGAAATGCTGTCTGCTACCAACAAATTTACAGCATGATAAACCGAGTATCCAATCCTGATTGCCTTAACGGAGTAAGCATTACAAACACAAACCAATTATAACCCAGCTCCATTTCCCATAACTATTGCTCCTTTTCCAGGACAGTGAGAACTACCTGGATACCACCTACCAGCTCCTGCAAAGTTTTGACTATGATATTTTGGGAAGATGAAATGGGAATGAAGAGATCATTTAGCATTAATCATACTAAAAAAGTTTGATTTGCATAGTGAAATAACAATTGACTATCTCTGTATTTCTTTAATGTTTCCAGAATAATTTGTTAAATAGTGATGTCCAAATGTAAAACAGTACACCATGTTCCTACTGTACCAAAAGTTCTTCTCTAACCAGAAGTTCAGATGCCTAGTAGCCCTATTAACCCTCAAAAAAAGTATAACAGACATTACTACAGAGAAAAATGATACTAGCTCCCTGACTATTCACAAGCTCAGAACAAGTCTATATTTAATAGCAAAATAAAGTTCAAAAAAGTTTTGTTCCTTTACTTCCATAAGGGACAGGTTCTTCCAAAAATAAGATAGGAAAGTTGGAATGAATTACCACCACTCTCCTGACTTTAAGTGCTAAACTCTGCTTGGTTCTACAGCAACAGGTAACATGCTGACATTAGAATAATTATATGAAAGCTTTACAACTGCTTAAGGGATTCTGTAAGCATATTATGTGGGAGTTTTTTTGGTTTGTTTGTTAATAAGGTGTTCTAGCCAATAGTTAGCAATTTTCCACTCCTTCATGATTTATCTACGTAGTCCAAAAGTCAAAGTGCTAAGTCTCCTATTTAAATTCCCCAGGATCAACAGTGAAAGCTCTTCTCCAAAGCAAGATGCAAGCTCAAAATTTATTTTTTTATTAGTCATTATATCAACTATTATAAGTACTCTTAAAGAAGTATGAGACTAAATAAGGTCTCTTCTGTTAGAATTCTAGGCAACGTCAGAGCATGTACAAACTCATGCTAAAGTAGGCATCTAAAATAAATTGGGTCAATCATTCCTTGAAATCTCTCTACATTGGACAGCTGAGCAAGATAGCTACTTTGACTACAAAGGCAATCTGAAGATTAATTTCACCATAACAACACCATCAAGAATCCATGAATTGCCAGCTCCTTGGTCATTCAAGATAAATGTTATTCAAGGTTAAAATACATATCACTTCAACCTCTTATTTACTAAGAGACACTACTGAACAGAACCAGGTATCCTAACTAGTACTACAGCTTGATTTTCTGTAAATTGGAGAGAAAGCATCGAAAAGTCAGTCAGCTAATAAAGAGAAACAAACTGAAACAAGACTAACACAAGCTGGTCTGGGCACCTGGGAATCAAGCACCACACAATAATTTTAGAAATATTTTCAAACTGAAGATGCAGACAACCTTAACTAAGGGAACGCATACAAGACATTTATACAAATGCTCAAAAGTGAAGATGACAACAGAGAATGCAGCAAAGCATTACCGTTAGGAGACTAACAGACAAACTATGATGCAGATGTTAATTAAAAAGAGACGTGATTCAGTGAGCAACTTAAGCATATTAAGTACCAGATTATGTGTAATTACTTCAGAGATTAGAGAGATTTTCAAATAAGTGCACATATTAATTTCAATTATTGTATTTTAGCTAGGCTAACATTTTAAATTTACTAGATGAAGACATGAATTTTTCTGTTAAATACTTCCAAGTTACTGACACATGAAGTAATGTAGTAAGAACAACAAATAAACAACATATAAGAAAAGGTCATTTTTTATTTAATTGTTGAATATTTTCTGAAGAAAAACATATTTTAAAAGATACTAGCAAGCCAAAAGAATTTAAACTGTCCACTTGTGTTGGTTTTGGCTAGGATAGAGTTAATTTTCTTCACAGTAGCTAGTACAGGGCTATGTTTTGGATTTGTGCTGGAAACAGTGTTGATAAGTCAGGGATGTTTTTGTTATTGCTAAGCAGTGCTTACACAGAGTCAAGGCCTTTTCTCTTCCTCATCCCACCCGACCAGCTGGAGGTGCGCAACAAGCTGGGAGGGGACACAGCCAGGACAGCTGACCTCAAATGACTAAAGGAGTATTCCATACCACATGACATCATGCTTTACACAAAGTTGGAGGAAGAAGGAAGGGGAGGACATTTGGAGTTACAGCATTTGTCTTCCCAAGTAACTGTTACAAATGATGGCGCCCTGCTTTCCTGGGGATGGCTGAACACCTGCCTGCTGATGGGAAGTAGTGAATGAATTCCTTGTTTCGCTGCACTTGCATGTGCAGCTTTTGCTTTACTTATTAAACTGTCCTTATCTCAACCCATGACTTTTCTCACTTTCATCCTTCTGATTCTCTCCCCATTCCAACATGAAGAGTGAGCAAGTGGCTGTGTGGGGCTTAGCTGTTGGCTGGGGCACGACACCACTTCTTTCCCAAACAATAGTTACTAGTCACAGGCAATAGCTATCTCCAATTGACTGTTTTCACATTTTGTTCTGCTCCAGCAGAACACTGCCAGAATTACCATTTCACAACAAACACCAGTTTTATAACAAAAGCAGCAGCAGCATTAGTCTGATGTACACGTATACTGTTCCTCTAACTACAAAACTCTGTAAAAAAAAAGTACTTAATCTGATTGAGTGATTTTATGCCACAGAATAAACTGTAATAAAAGTAATACAAAGTGGTTTAATCATACATCTCAAAAAATCCTACAAGACAAGCTTACACTTTGTCTTGCCGTCCTCCACCTCCACGCAGTGCAACTGGCTGGCTGTTTTGAGTAAATGCACCTCCACCACGAATTGCACTTGGATGAGTTGGAGAAGCAGCTGGATGCTGGCCAGGACGGATAGGTTTAGCTGCATGAAAAGAAACATGACTTACAAATACATACATCACAATTTTTAGCTTGAATTATTCAAATTTACTAATACTTTTAATACATTTGGGATACTGTAAAATATCAAAATTGAATGCACTTTGAGTAAGAAAACAAGTTTAGGAGGTGGTATAATGGGAATCTAACAGATTAGTATCAGCTATAACAAGCCCTGAAAAACAGACAAGGTTTTGGTTTTATTGTACCTATTAAAGCTAGCAAAGCTTTAGATAATGATTATCTTCACATGTATTATGGGCCCCACCTAATGTATTTCCCTGAGACCTATTTCTTGACAATAGGAACACAAAGCTAGACAAAGTTTCATGAGCATTACATTCCTGTAAGGAATCATTATACCCTGCTGCATTTCGCACATCTACTTGATTGATAAGCCACTAGTCACTCTGCTCTGCAAGTGGTTCTGCATACTTATTCCTCCACAAGTAACCCTGCTTCATCAGCTTCTTACAACCATACAAAAAAATTAAACCTCCTCTATTACTGAAGTAAAAAACCAGTAGTTTTGACAGGTAATTCACAAGCTGCATACACTTCGATAAACAAACTATAGTTTCAATCAGTTTTGCACTAGCTCTTAACAGGACATGCACAATGGTATGACTTTACAAAGTTCTGTAATATTAAACAGAAGCATTTAAAGTTTCAGCAGGTAAGAGTGGACATAGAGTACCTACAGGTAGCAACTGCATCAGAGAAATACTTCTCAATTTCTGCCTTGCAGGAAGCTGATCTCCAGTAAGACATGACTGGTTCATCTAGACATTTAAGTTCAAGAGGCTTTACACCTGTGGTAAGCTCATTAGAGAATTCTGTTTGTCTTCTTGGAGATCACTTGAGAGAAAGGTAAGACAGGAAAACATCTGTGTTCAAGCCGCCACTTGAAGTGACCAAGAAAAAAAATTGTAAATTTATTCTGCAACAGCTCTTTGCAGACCTACAGAATACGAGCAAAGTTTAACTGCAATGCTAATTTCAGTTGCATTAGCATTTAAGAGAAGTGTATGATTACCGAAGTCCTGACACAGGACAACAAAAAGGCTGGAATACCTAGTTCCTTCTACAACAATGTATAGGCACAGTTAAGTCCTTCATCGGTCACACGCCCTCTTCGCCCTCAGCACTTGACAGCGTAACGGCAGGTGGAGGACCAAGGGAGTATAACTGTCTTCCCACCACACAGTAAGAAACACTACTAGCTACTACAGATTTCTGTTTTTTCCATTTTTTTCCCCTATGGAGGGCTACGGAGTATTGTATGTTTTGGAGCAGAGAATCAAAAAGGTAATTAGGGATCTTACGATGTTAGTTGTGGGTTTTTGTCTGCCCCTCTCCCCACAAGATCAAGATACAGAAAGACAGTCTTGTTATTGTTTAAGGTGATAGCTTAATCTCTCTCCTTGCTTTGGTCTACCTACTTACATTTTAGAAATTGGAAAGGAATTGTGACGTTACAGACTTAAGACTCACATTCAGTGTATCATTTTGCTCTAGGAAACGGAACACATATTCAGGCTAGAATTCTAGGTTGGAAAGCCTTTCCCAGCTTATACAAAAATCCAGGTACCAGGAAGAGACCCATTTAAAATAAATTAAAAAATGCAAACAACCATACACCACCACCCACCCACACTTACAGTCTGTTAACCAAAATATAACTCATGGTAGAAAATACTTCATGTTCACACACACAGTTCCAAATAGGGTTGAAAGATGCACACATGCACAAATAAAAAAAAAAACAGGAGGCAGATGAAGCTTTAGGGGGCAAGGAATCCTTCACTAACCAATTTGTGCAGAATGTCCTCTTCTGGCCATATTCTTGGATCTTACAGCTTCCTTTATACGATCTACTTCTTGCTGATACCGTTTGCGATCACGAGAAGCATTCTCTTTGGCTTCCTTCAGTGCAGACTCCAAAGCTTTAACTCTTTCAGCTGTAGCTCTAAGTCGCTTCTCCAGCTTAGGAAGTTCACAGCGAAGATCTGCATTATCACGTACCAGCTACAAAACCAGAATCAATTATTTTCTTGGTATCTCTCTTCATAGGGAGAGCCAACCAAACACCCTCCCGCCCCTGATCATGCAAAGCAGCAGGGTTACTATATTATCTTTGCTTAAGCTTTTAGTAAGTCTAATGGTTTATCAGTAAGATTGTCATTAGAAAAATCAGTTACTGTGGAAGAACATGCTACCCAACACAGGCACTTAAAGTCTACGTTCTTCTTCAGAGACAGGCAAGCATCCCCAGTTAGTGCATCACTCTAACCTGGATCTTCTTCAGTTTAAATGCAGCTATTTTGTTACATACCCACATGTACTTAAAATAGCTATTAATTTACTTTACAGGAAAACTTTATTGTTTTATATCAAGAGACACACTCAAGATGTAGAAGTATTTAATTATAAAATGGTTACTTTATGACCAATATGCATTCAGTCATTTCTACAATAATGCAACTTAAGTCGGTTGTTTTTAATTAAAACTTGAAATTAAGCCTCATTGTACCTGCTTGTGAACCTTTGTAAGTTGTTCAAGATTATTCTCAAGGAAAGAAATCTTCTGTTTTTGTGCAGCACTGCCTCCTGTATCATCCGAGTCAACCTCAGCACTCTGCAGTAACAAAGGCATGGGGAGGAAGAGAGGAGGCTGAGTGCAAATCTGAACTTGCACATTAAGATCAAGCAAAAAAAATTACACCACATAAAGATCAATTCCTAATTTAGCTCTAAACTGAAATTTACATATCATTCTCAGAAACACCAAGTTTCACTCCAGCACCACATTACCTTTTTCACTCTAGTAGCAAGATCTTGAACAAAGAGCTTCCGAAGATTGTGAAGAGTCTGAAGTTCTTTTGCCTACAGTTAAGGACAAGAAATTAAAAAAAAAAAAAAGACACACTTAAATAACTCTGAAGGGGGGGGAGGGGAAAAAGGCAAGTATTGACATTTGCTTTGGAATATATTCTATCTTACCACAGTCTCTTCCAAACCCTTTAAATCTTGCCTTGCTTGTTCCCGTCTGTCCTGCATAACCCTAAAAGAGAATAAATTCCTCCTGAAACATCCGAGCAAAACTGAAAGTTGTAATGTTTTAGGAGACTAGAGCGATGAAGACTATATGGCACAAATGAAAAGTGTCTTTCAGTTGAAGTCCTCAATAGGGGATGTAACCAACAGATGACACCACACTCAGAAATCCATATGTGGTGGGAGTGGGGGAGTTGCAGAAGGAAAAGAGGAAGTACTTTTAATATTGAAAGAATACAAACCAGTACATTCAGATGCATAAATTGTAAGTTTCTAAAATAGGTAAAGAAAGACTCTGAGTTGGGTTCAGGATGAATACTTGGGGAGATCTTATCCTACAAATATTGTTAGCTGAGACCAGCTAAGTCTCATGTGACAGATTAAGGATTTTTTCTTTGTTTTGTTCTATCACCTTACCCCCCAACACATTTGCCAAAGCTAGCATCATAAACAACAATCTTAGTTTACAGGAATATAACCCAATGATAACCATTTTACAGAGCTTCTGTCTTCCTGTTTAATGTGAAAGCATTTACTGCACTGCTAATGTTCTCTCTCAGAATTATAAGGCAGTGCAATTACTAAGATGACAGGATACAGGAAAGGAATGTGAACTTTTTTTTATGACTCGAGTTTGGAATAGGAAGGCCAGGGACTGCATGAAAATGAAGTGTTCCTATTAAGTAGCCAAAAAGCTTCTTTTCCTCTTGAAATTTCTCCTCATTCAGCCAGTTCCACTAGTATCTCACAGCTAAGTGATAAAACATTCAAAGTAAAAAAATATTCTAAAGAATATCTCAGCATTCTACCTATTTTCCAGACCTCACTGGAAAAGTAGTTCCAAGCATCTTATACAACTCTAAGTCAAAAAAAAAATGAAGAAAATGTGAATAGTCCACATTGTTTCTGGCCTGTCATTTGCCATGCACACTTATGACATACAATGGAAAATAACTGGAGTTAAAAAGGCTGGAGGAGGACACAGAATACCAAATTAATTTTTAATGCTTCTTTGCAAGTCTTTTGAAGAGGAAAGTTTCTAATACAGCAAGTGCCTTTAAGGGATCAATGCTATATACAGTTTAGCCTGCAAACTGAAATAAGAAGCAATAATGTGGCACATATATCAAATCTTACAAAAAACCCCCACCCTATTGTAAGTAATGTAACTTTTGAAATCATTGTGATATATAAATAAATCAGAATAAGACGGATTCACAAGACCAGAGTACTGTTAAAGTTTTAGTCAGATAAACCAACGTTGTATTTCACAGTAAGGCTAAAAGAAAAAAGTAAGCGTTGCTTATTGGTTACCCGTGCAGCCAATCAGGTCCCTCTGACTATTTCAAATTCTGTGATAAAAAACCTGAAAGCCACTGTGTGTTTTTAAACATGGCCAAAAAGCATGCACTTTTGAAAAAGTTTCAAGTATAAAGTATTTTTAACCTCTGTAAAGATAAATTCATATAGGCCAGAAAGGGGTCCCTACTGATACTCTAGAAACATTTTCAGGTGATTATGGTCAGATTTCTAGAAGTTGACAATTGTTTTTCAGCTTGACCCTTGGATACTTACCTGCAAGCAGAATTCAATTCTAATTTTTGCATTAACTTTTCAGTCTCTTATTCACTAATACACTGTTATTTAGTTACTCAATGAAATGTGCAGCTCTTTAGTCTCAAGAATATGCCAGTTAGAACCACCTAACTAGTTAAATTGCAAAAGAACCAAAAAAACACTAAGGGAACTGTTACAAGCCTCTTCCAGTCTTAGAGCATGCAATATTTAGCTGTAAATTGAAAAGGTAATTACTCCAACCCATAGCATATTAACAAAGAAGAAGTTGTGGCCTCCCTATCTTTCATAATTTTATCTCCAATTTTAAATATTAAGGCAGTGCAAAGGTTTTAAAAAAGTTAAGTTCAAGAAGGCTCTGGAGCATCTCTTTTTAATAGGCATACCATACAGTGAGAGCCACTTCATCATATTAGGTCACCAGTATTTAAAATGTAAGCGTTCCCACACACGTTTATTTTATGCACCATTATCACTTACGTAAGTTCATGCAGTTTTCTACTTTTTTCCTGATCAGTCGCTTTCAACTTCTCATGCTCAACTCTAAGACGTTCCTGTTCAAGCATCATCTTCTGGTTTTGGCTGAACACAGAAAGTAAACATTATATCAACTGAACCTGTCAGACACGACATTCAGTAAAGCAACACAAGCTAGAAAGACACTGCTGGAGGAGACCCTTGCCACTTGCCTTCCCACCATACTGTGCTTCTGTACTCAGTCCAGAGACATTTGGCACTACTAAAATAATGACAATTACTTACTCTTGAAGTTCAGTGATAAGCTTCTCCTTTGCATCAACTTCATCTCTTAGGCTACTGATTTGTTTCTGATGTGTCTCACGATGGCTCTGAATTTGCTGTTCCACAGCTTGCTATTAGAAAAAAAATGTATGTTTTATATGTTTTAAATGCCGTACTTCACTTTTTTTCAAAAAACAATGAAATTAACTTACCTTGACTTCATTTGCAGTTTGAACCTTATTTAAGTGCTCTTTCTCCATCTCATGGACTTTTTCTAGTAAGGATAGAGGAGAGAAAACACACTTCAGCCAGGTAACTAGGTGAACACAGGGAAGGTGGGAGTTAATCCCCCCTTCCCTTCTGAACATCCTAAAATTTGGGAAAAGTCCCCTCTCACTGAAAAGATCAATCAAATCAGTAACATCCTTAACTTAGTCCTATCCATAGCAGTTCTTTCAAACAGCAAGCGCTTTCCCATTGAATAATTCTACATGTTCAGTAGCAGAAAACCATTCTATAGCTCTGCCCTTCAATCTAAATAAAACAGAACAATTCTCTATTTATATACTTAAAATGGAGGGCAGTGGTGGGTGAGGTGTAGGGAGGCAATTCCTACCCTGTGCTCGGAGTTGAACTAATTCTTCATTAAGGGAATCCACAGATTCTTCCAGTTGTCTCTTCTTCTGTTCCACGTTCTGAAGATACTCAGTCAATGACTTGATCTTGGCTTCATGCTTGTAGAATGGAAAGATTCATTTACTTTGGAACTAGGTATCATGGAATTACATCTGCATAAACAGTTTATGCTTAGTTTTAAACAAGTAATCCGATCTCAAACCAAGAATGGTGCCACCTAAACTCTTAAGAAAAAAAAGACTACTCAAGTAGATCTGTAATGTAGCCTGTAAGACAATGTTTTTATACTGGATTGGAATGAAATACATTTTTGGCTTGGAGAAGAGATGTTTTGAATGTTAAATACTATCACAGGCAAGAGAGGCCCACTATATTTAGAAGACTGCATTGAAATATGTATCCCCTGATTTAAAAAAAAAAAAAAAAAAGAGATAACCATCTATATGTAAAACAAAATAAAGAAAAATTGCATATGTAGATCACAATTTTCAGAAGTGTGAGAAGTCACATTACTGATCTTTTCTAACAACCACATTAAAATGGCCTTTCTCACATTAGAAGTAAATTTAATGTGCTATGCAAGCCTACGGTAATTTTACTGTGCTACTGCTACCTCCACCATTTCCAACTTGCTGCATTAGTAAGCAGAGTGCTCACTAGCCACTGCATCTGTAAGACATATTTGTATAGAATCGTGTGATGGAAAACATATGGATCCTAGTATTTAATATAAGTGCTACAACAGCATTATCAGGCTACAGACATATAGCAGAAATTCTGACATCCTGTCACACAATTACTCAAAAGCATCTGAACAAAAGACAGTACTGAGGATACAGCTGAGTCTTGTGGCTGTTCACTCACAATGTACTACCTACTTTGTTAGGTGCCAAAAAGAAACTGCAACTTTTTTTTTCCCCAGCAGGTTAATGAATTCAAAAGAACATTTAGGAAGCACACTGTAAAGAAACATTTACCTGTGAGATACGGAGCTGGCAGGCAGCCAACTCCTTCTCATTTTCCTCCATTTTCTTATTGCTTTCAGCCTGTGTGCCTTCTAACTGTTTGCAACGTTTTACCATTGTTTTTACTTCTGATTTCATTTTACTAATGTACAGTCTTGCAACTGTGAATTCTTCATCTATCATGCCAGTTCCTTCAGGCTGCTGAAAAGTGTGGAATGACACATTCAGAAAGCTTACATAACAAAAGAGAATTAAAGGTGAGCTGGAGCAACTTAGTGCCCAGCACACAACCCCCACCTCGACTGATAATCAGAGCATTAAACACCAAAATGTAACTTCTTTTTAAGTTTTCTGATTGATTATTTAGAAGTTTGCCCAAAGGTAATGAGTTACTTGACAAGAGAAATACAGTTCACTACAGATTTGTAATACTGCTTACATTCTTGTCCTACAGCAATCTCCTATTTTTATACTTCAGTTCCTCATTCCACTTTTAATATAAGTATCATCCTAATTGGCACTGTAGGTCAGCATTAGATTTCCAAGATGATGATGCTGATTATGACCATTTCATATAGCAGTTTAACAGTATGAATGAAAACACTACTTCAGAAAAAAAAAAAAAAAAAAAAAATCACACCTGCTCTTTCTTGTCTTTGCATAATCAAATTCTATTTGGGATCCGATTAAGTCACAGATAAGCAATGGCTAAGCTTATGCCCAAATGATCAGCATACATGAGGCTTCCTGTGGTAGTTATTTTTACCATACTAAGAAAAACTGACCCCACCTATCCACAACATGTGTGTCACACATGGCATTAAAAATTGCACTGACTAGTCCTTACCTTGACATCATTATTTCCTACTGCAATTCCTATCTCTGCAAGATCTTTTAGTAAGGAGGCCATCATTTCTGTCGCTCGTTTCTTCTGATGGTTGGTCATTTCTTTAAGTTTCTGAAGCTCTGCATCTATACTGGCTAGAGTGACCTACAGTAAAAGAAGTTACACTTTAATAAACAAAACACACTTGTTTTTACAACTAGTTTCATACTACTTATTTAAATACAGCACTGAAATGTCCCTTTTTTTATGTCTCAAACCAGATTGGTATCAACCTATGTGAATATACCATATAGTAAAAATTTAGAAGTTCTAGAGTGACAGTATTTCTTCTGAAGGAAATGTAAAGTACTAGGGACAGAGGCCTTCAGCTCACAAAATATAGTCTTACAACTCTGCAACAAAATTCACGTGAACATCGTTTAACAGCAGAGTTACATGCAGTTAAAAAATGCAGAGAATTGCATTTATAGGAAAAAGGTACATGGACAGCAAATCCAACACTTTTCACCATATTTTGGTAAAGGAAAACAATTTCAGCTTTGCCTGCAGAGCTCTTAACTCTTTCCTACTTGCAAATCAAAAAATGGCATCCAGTTCCAAGAGTTCATAAGCACTACACTTAGTCTAGAGTAGTTTTTCAGCTAGTTTGAGCTGCAGTGGTTGTTAATGGCTGCAGCTCAGCAGCTTGCATACTTAAAAATTGTCTGCTCTTTGTTCTCCAGTGTTAAAAAAACGTCAGAATTTTTACAGCAGGAAAGTTTCAGCCAGGAA